GCCACTTCGGCACGCATCGCGCTGGAAAAGGACGTAGAGCAGGCGGAGGTGCTGCTAGAGACGTTCAAGACACAGCAAGCCGAAGCCGAACAAGCCGAGGCACAAGCGGCCGCCCAGAAGAGGACGGTCACATTTGGTGGAGATGGAGATGCAGAAATGACACAGTCGCCCTTTTCACCAGCCACAAGCCCGCCAGCGAACGCAGCACAGCCACCAGGGCAATTCAGCCCAGGTACCACGGCGACGTCACCGTTTGCGCCATCGCCATATTCGCAAATGATGAATATGCCAGCTCATGGCCCCTCAGTCATTCATCAACTTCAACACGGACATGCTACGCTAACTGGACAATTGGCCACGTTGACTACACAGTTTGCAGCGTTGCAATCATCTCTCAGCGCGGTCGCCGCCGGCTTGCAGCATCAGACTCAAGCCAACGCAGCATCCACCGACAGCAACGTGGACAAGGGCGCCCGAGGCGCAATCGCCAGGGGCAAGGGACAAGCCCCCGTGAACGCCTACCCAGCCCAGCAGCCTCATGCGGGAACGCCACGGCAGCACGCGGCCGCCGCCGCCGCTGGAGGCCCAGCGGCGGGCATAGGCCAGGCTCCGCCACAGCACATGCCTGCTGGGCAGAGGGCCGCAGGGCGAGCCTTTGCGAAGCCGCCGCCACCAGGCCAGCTCCCCCTTCAATGGGGCCCCGCCCGAGGCGTTCAGACCGCAGACGGAGCGGAGGTATCAGCAGGCGACCACGACGAGGACGACCTACCCATTATCTCGGCAGAGGAGCGCGCTGCTGCAGTAGCCCTGGGAGCACTTGCGCCGCCGGATCCTACCACCCCGCCGCCTCGCAAGAGGCCCGAGGAGGATACGACGCCCGAGGATGCACCAGCGCACAAGATTCAGACGTTGCCGTACGAGGAGGAATCACCTACTCCACCTTCGGGCACGACCGCCCCTGGCACGGGCCCCTTCCTTTCACAAGCAGAAGCAGTTTTTCGTGCAGCGGAGGAGAGTTGAGGAACGACGCGCTGCATGAGCAGCACGCCAGCTACGGCATGCAGGACCTCTCTCCTCTGGAGTACCAAACATCAGATCAGGGGTGCCCTACACCCCCTGACGTCCCCTGGGATGAACATGCCTTCCTCAGAGGATGCGATCGGTCGCCTCTCCCACACACCACGGCTCTTGCTGGCATGCTCCAGCTTCCTTGGGAAGTCCAGCTCGACCAGGACATCCTGGGTTTATCGCAATTTCTACACTCATCTACAGTTTCGGCCCTTTCAGGTCTCTCTACCCTGCAGGACTTATCCGAATGGGTCTCACTCGAGATTTACACAGACGGATCGGGCGGTGGCAGCATGTACCCTCCAGGTACCAGCATCCCCGAAGGAGCTCCTCATACGGGTCCCCCCAGTTGGGCGTTCGTGTTTCTGGCTACCGACTCCAAGGGGGACCGGGCTCTACTGGGATACGCTTTGCAGTGCTTTGATCCTGGAGGTACTTCGAATTACCTGGTTTCGTTCCTGGCAGAGATCCTTGCTGCTCAATGGGCTCTTGCTTGGGTCCTTCACTCTGGGTATGATTCCCTGGCTATTTCAGTATTTGGGGATAATCTGGGAGCCCTTGACGTCATGCGTGCGGGAGCCATCTATGGGGCTCTGGAGGCCCACCGCCGAGTACTCAACGGCTTGTCTATCCTAGTCCAGGCACGTTTCCAACGGTTTTTAGTGACGCATATTGCAGGACATTCAGCTCAGCCATGGAATGAGCTCGCCGACACACTTTGCAGAATTCTTTCACTTCAGTATCTAGCGCCCACGGCCCTCCCAGATCATTGGCAGGAGGCTTGCCGGACGAACATGTGCAGTTTGGCATGGGCTTGGCTGGATGCACAACCCATCGCTGTAAGAGCGCAATACCCACCAGCTGCAGGAGATCACTTACACGACAGTTATCCTGCAGTTTTTCAGCTCGCAGACCTTCAGCCACAGCCCAGGGGACCTGGCGCGGACGGGAGGACAGGCTCTGACACATGTATGGGCCCCACTACCAGGTCCATGCGCATGATCACGGCCAACGTTCTCACTTTGGACCAAGGCCGTTCGACAGAAAAGGGTTTCTGGACTTTACCTCCCTGGACGTATGGCGTATCTGGCTTCTGTCTTCAAGCGGTCCCAGGTTTTCTTGGCGGGCACTTGTGAAACGCGTTACCATGCGCAGATGGCTGCAGCTTGAATGCCAAGCAATGCCGAGTTCTTCACGCCAGCCCAAGGTTATTAGTGGTTGCTATTCGAGCTGACGCTCTCCGCTGCAACGTGGTAGCGGGCCATGGGCCACACAGCGTTACCCAGGAGACGAAGCTTCAGCAATGGTGGTCTGAGACGGGTCAGCTCTTGGGCAAGCTCCTGGATCCAGGCATGCCGGAAGTTCACTTTTCGGACTCCAATGGCACCATGGGCTCTGTCGTTTCGTCTTGTGTTGGCAGTGTTCACGAGGCCACCGAGAACAGGACTGGCTCGCTCTTCCACGAGATGTTGCTCGAGAGGTCGCTCTGGGCCCCCTCCACCTTCCTCCCCTCCTCAGGCCCCAGTGGTGCCACATGGTATCCGCCGCAGCACCAGGAGGGGAAGAAAGGGCGGCGCATCGATTACGCGGTCTGCTCGCACTCAATTGCCGTGCAGGACGCTCGAGTGGCGCACGATATAGAACTGGCCATCACCATCGCCGATCATAAGGCAGTCTCAATCATGGCTAAGATTCCCTTGCAGCAGCAGAATCCAGTGCAGTATGCCTACCCACGCATCAAGTGCGACGAATGTCTTTTTTGCGACACGAAGGCTCGGCAACGCTTTCAAGACTTACTTTTGCACGCGCCGCTGCCAGAGTTTCAAGTTCATACTGGGGATCACTGCCAACAGCTCACCACTTACTTGCAGGATGCTATCGCCACCGCCTTCCCCCCCCCCCAAGAAGACTGATAATGGACGTAAGCCTAGGCAGGCTTGGGCGTCTATTAAAGCACTCGAGCACATGGACACCAGAGCTGGGTTCCTCAGGCACTTCCGCGACACCTACAAATCCTGGAAGAGAGCAGCCCTGGCCACCGTATTTCGAGCTTCGGCTACACCGATTGGGGGCCCCTGGTTCTCTTATCGTCAGCTCTCCTGGCGCTTCGCGCAACGCCCGCTAGATTCTGGAGCTCGGAGATGGTATCAATACATTGGGGAGGCTATTAAAGGCGCTGCTCAGGGGCTATCTGGGATTAAGAAGCTCTTGATCGAGTTGGAGGCCTACCCGGAGGCTCACAAGGTTTCTAGACCACGGCCAGACCGACTCCAGAGTTTCGAGCTCACAGGGCTTAACGACACCATCGGTCAGGGTAACTGCACGATCATCATCAATGCGCTTGCAGCTGGTGCTAAGGTCGCCCAGGCCATGCGGCACACCAGCCTCTTTTTGTCGACCAAAGTGGTCAACCTGCAGCTCAGAGCCGACTCGCGCACGCATGCACAAGACATTGCCAAAGATGTATCCAGTGAATGGTCGAGGCGGGATCACCTCCAAGCTTTTCGCAGGCTCAGGTCCATCGGGGCAGGCTCCAAGAAGAAGGTTCGGCATCGAGTTTTACCCATCCTCAACGGTTTCGACGAAAATCCTTATCGGAGCGGGTCCAATCATCCCGTTCTCGGACCTGGCCCGGTACAGCTCAGGGGTCCAGGAGTTGCCCCAGGAGCTCCTCGATCGCATCGCGTTCGCCCCGGAGGATCTCTGCACCATGGCACAGGCGTTGCAAACTTTGCGTTCAGCTAAGCCGTCGGCAGCAGGGCCAGACGGTATCACAGGCAACATGGTCCGTAAGCTCGCTGACGAGCTTGCTCCGCTGCTGCTGCCATTGCTCCTTAAGGCCCAGGTCCGCATCTCGGAGCCTATCCAGTGGAAGGGTGGTTTTGTTACTGGCCGCTGCACAACAAAAACAGGCAATCCTGCTTCGCGTCTCAACTACCGATCCATACTTGGGTCTTCTCAGCTGGGGAAACGTGTTCGAAGTCTGTTGCGAAGAGATGTGGCACCTCTGTTGCTGCCGCTAGCTGGCCCCCGTCAGCACGGAGGAGTTGCTCATGGAGGCGCGGACTTTGCAGCGCTGGAAGTGCGCACCATGCAGCAGATCGGCCTCCAGACGGGGCAGTCCGCGCTGTTTATCCCTACAGATGCTGCGCAGGCTTTTTACAGATCGGTCAGGGAGCTTGTCTTCGAGACGGGAGCTTCCGACGAGGCGCTGGCCCACGTCCTCAAAACTGCCGGGCTTCCACCGGGGGCCATGGACGAACTCGAGGCGTACATCAAGACCCATGGGCCCATCATGGGGGCTCGGCAGTTCCCCAAGAGGCTCCACGCGCAGGTGGCGGACTGTTACCAGTCCAACTGGTTTGTGGTCCCAGGGAGCTCCACCGTGGCTTTTCCTCAAGAGGGTACGGGGCCAGGCCAACAACTGGGGGGCCTGGTGTGCAATTTCGCCATGGCCCTAGTGGCCACAGAAGCCCAGGACGCGCTGGTTGATCTTGGGATCGAGTTACGTATTCCTGTCTCGGAGGCCCGATCTATTAGCACGTACCTGGACCAGGACACGCAACACGTACATGCAGACCACTCTATGGGCATGGCTTTTTTTCGACGACGCGATGTTCATGCTGCTAGGAGGCCCGTCCGACCTTCTACGGCATGCGCCATTCGCGGCCAGCATCATCTTCGACGCGTTCGGGTCCAGGGGTATTCGGCTGCATACCGCCCAGGGGAAACCCGCTGCCCTTTTCCAACTACGCGGCAAAGGATCCGACATCGCGAAACGACGACTCTGGTTGCAGTGGGGTGGCACCATTAGCTTCGTCACTAGGCTATACGGCCAACTCGACCTACAAGCAGTCAGACAATATACTCACCTCGGAACTGTGCTCGACGAAAGTTGTTCTTTAGGACCCGAGCTAGCGCATCGCCGTCAGGCTACAGCTTCAGAGTGGAAGAGGCTTCGCAGCGTCGTTAGAGACACGCACCTCGAGAATCGCATCGGCATGATCTTGATTGATTCCCCTAGGTGCTCGAGCCGTTTGTACCAAGCATGCACTTGGCCGACCCTAACACTGGCGCTGTCGGCCCAGCTGGCCGACGATATTGTTCGCATGTACAGAGCTGTCGTCCACTGCCCGAGGATTGACAAGACAGCGCTATCGTCGGCGCAGGTCCTTGCCAAAGTTGCCAAGCCAGACTTGGTCTCCATGCTGCGGGTGCACAGGCTGGGACTTTTTGGACGGCTCTTGCATCATGGGCCAGCACACCTTTTGGCTCTTGCGGGATATTGCGCCACCCTGGGCACAAACTCGTGGTCGAGATCTTGAGTGGGCCCGTCAGCACCACTATCGCTAGAAGGAGCTCCCCAAGGCCTCTGAGGACCTCGCAGCTTGGGAATCGCTCATCTTAGGTTCTGAGACGCGCTGGAAGGTCACCCTCAAGGTAGCCCTGCAGGCCCATATTTCACATCATACTAGAAATACACTTGCCGCTGTCGCGGAGGCCGAAGCTTTTCAGGTTTTATACGATGCAGGTTTACCGAAGGCCTTTACCGATCCCAGCCATCCCCTGAGGGTCCAAGACCAAGCCACCATGCCATCCTATACGCGTCTTTGGTGCCCAGAGAAGATCGACACCATCAAGGGTTTCAAGCAGCACACAGCCCGCGAGCATTGGACGTTCATATACAGAGTTCGCACATTTTGGACACACCAAGCAATGCCGGCACTGTCAGACTACGTTCGCAGCACGTAAGCCATTAATCGAACATCTTACTTTCTCGTCTCCGAAGTGCGCGCTTGCCATGCTCAGCACGCCCTACGATTGTTCTTACGATGAGATCGAGAAGCTTAACGAGGAAGCAGCCAACACAGCAGCACAGAAAAGAGCAGCTGGTCTGGGTCGATGGCGCCCAGAGGTCCCAGCTATCCAGGTGCGAGGACGTGCCCGTGCCCGTGCTGTCCAGGATCCTTTCGCCCGAGATGTGATCGCACTACTGACCGACTCTGAGGCCCGCGAAGTTTTGCTGCGTTCTGACTGGGTTTTTTTTTCTGAGGAGGCGGCCACTCAATATTTAGCTTTGTTTGGGGTCGCGGCCCCTGCGGTCCAAAGCGAAGGTCTTGAAGACCGCTACTGGCCCTTTCGGCCCCAGGACTACGCCCAAACCGCTGCCGACCCCCCCCCCGTCAGAATTTACAAAGCCCAATTTTTCGTGCTGAACCTGTTCTGTGGGAAACGCAGAAGAGGTGATGTGCAGTGGCATATCTCCTCGTCGCACCCCTCCCGGAATGCGAGATCTTCTGCCTCTCGATCGATATCGCGATCGATAGTGAACGAGGTGATTTAACTCAGCATGACTCTATCAAGTTTTGGATTGGTCACATTCGTGACCGACGGGTGCTCAACACAGGGGGGGGGGCCCCTGTGAGACTTGGAGTGCTGCGCGTTGGCAAGAAGGGGGCCCCCCCCTCTCCGCACCCTCGACGATTTCTGGGGAGTCCCAGGCTGCACGCCCAGGCAACAAGACCAGCTACGCATCGGAGGCCAGCTTCTCCAGGCTTTAGTGCTTATGTTGTGCGAACACATGCGTGCTGGGACGGGTGGGTGGATGGAACATCCTATCCCCGCCACCTGGGTGCCTGAAGCCCCCTCCTCCTGGCGTTGGCCCCCGCTCATTGCCCTCGTCTCCTCCCCCGTTTCCAGCATGACTGATTTTGATCAGTGCGAACATCACCGGCCACTACTGACATGTCGCAGATAGGACGAGCCCCAACCCGAATCATTGGAATTCGAATGCCCACGCTCCCCGAGGCTCTGACGAACACGCCAGGAGCTGGACGTTGCTCCCACGGCAAAGGGGCCCATCTCACCTTGCCCGGTAGGAAAAGGGAGTGTTCGTGGAGAACCCAGGCCAAGAAAACGTATCCAAACCACCTCTGCCAGGCGATTGCGAAGTCCATTTTGGACAGCGCTCAGCAGATTGTGGCTCCAGTCAACGAGGCAGATTTTGTTTTTGAATTCGACGATCAGGCATTACAGACAGTCTCATGCGTTTCTTCGTGCCATGGACCCCTGACTGTGACCAAGATTTTGCCCTGGCCCCCGACTACGCTGGAGGCCACAAGAATTTTCGTCGCAGGGTCGATCCAGAGTCGCACAGGTTTTTTTCCTGAGTCCGAGGGGGAAGGAGTTTGCCTGACCCCCCCTCTCGAGGTCCCTGAACCCATGGACCAGGAAAGGCTTTTCGGTTCCCCTCAGAGCCACTCAGTTTTGACTGCTCAATGGGCCTTGGAGGTCTCTCCTCTTGTCCCTTCCCCGCCTCCCCCTCCCCCCCCTCTCCCTCTCACCGAAGAGCAGCGATCATTGATCGCCCACAACCGTGCGCAGGCCAGGGAGAGACGCTTGGTCCGTACCCAGGCCGCCGCCAGGGCTGCCCACGAGGCCAGAGCCCCGTGGATTGCACAAGGAGGCCAGCTCCTCATCCCCGACTTGTTCAAGCAGGACTAGGGTGGGGGAGCGCATTTCTTCTTTTTTGTCTCTGCTGTCTCTCTGCTGACAGTTTCAGAACCGTTGGAGCACACTCATGGTCATGCCCCTCGTCGCACACACCTCCCTCCTCGCTCCCTCCTCGCTCCCTCCTCGCTCCCTCCTCGCTCCCTCCTCGCTCCCTCCTCCTCCTCCTCCTCCTCCTCCCTCCTCCTCCTCTCCTCCTCCTCCTCCTCCTCCTCCCCTCCCTCCTCCCTCCTCCTCCTCGCTCCTCCTCTCCCCCCCCGCGCGGACCGCGGGCGTCGGCGCCGCCCCCGCCGTCCCCGCGCTCGGCGTGCGGGCAGCGCGGCGGGTGCAGGGCTGCCGCCGCGGCCTCGGGGGGGGGGGGGGGGCGAGCCCGCGCCCGCGAGCCTATCGCCGAGGGCGCGGCGAGGAAGGCCGCGTGGCCCGCGGCAGGGCGCCAGCTGCGCACGGCCCTGGCCTTAACTATGTTGCCCCCTATCGTATGAAAGGACCACATCCCAGAAATAACTTCGAGCACCCAGAAAAGTGTCGAAAGAGTGTCGAAACAGTGTCGAAAGAGTGTCTCCCAGGACCCGACACGTGAAAACCCTAGATTTTGGGGGGTGTTTTCTTGGTGCTCGAAATTCATTCTGGTGGTCAAGGCTACAATAGGTTGGAACATCATAACCCTGGCCAGGCCCACCCTGGGCCTGGGCTCGGTGCGTGCGCCCTCCCCGGCTTGGGCAGGAGGGCGTGCCAAGCCGATCTCGGGCCAGGATCGGCCTGGCCAGGATCCGTGTAGCTGTGCAGCTGGTGCCCTCCGAACCGAGGATCGGACATCGAGATTCGAGGCTCGCGACTACCGAGGTCCTCGAACGCGCCCCCGCTGGGCCTCCGGAGGGCCCTGAGGGCCTCCGGGAACGTGTGGAGACGCCCGAGACCTCTGGGGACGACCCAAGCGTCGTGAGAAAGCCCCGACTTCATATCTCCGAATCCGCCACCGTGCCCCTTGGCACGGTGAGGCGTGATAGAACCTGGTCGGACAAGAACAGGAAGCATGAATTTTGTCCACTGGGCTCGTGGTTTGGAAAAGAGAAGGATGAGGGCGACGACAAGAAGGCGGATGACGAAGATGACAGCGGGGATGACGGGGAGGGCAGCGAGGGGAGCAGGAGGACATAGAGGAGGAAGATAAGCACAAGGACGAGGAGGAAGATGGAGGAAGACGAGCACCAGGAACCATGAAGAGGACGAGCGGAAAGTAGGGAGGCAATGAAGAGGAGGAGGAGGAGGAGGAGGAGGAGGAGGAGGAAGAGGAGGAGAGGGAGGAGGAAAACGACGAAAAAGGACATTAAGGAGCACGAGGACAATGACGTCGAAGAAGGGGGAGATTCGTGAGTCTTCGAGGCCACCCTGTAGGCTGTTGTGGCCGCCTGTGGCCATCTTGGGGGCTCCTGGGACGTTTCCCAACCATCCTGTGGTGTTGGGTCCTCGTTTTGAAGAGACAGCGCCCCGCGTCTCCTCTCCTCCTCTCCTCTCCTCTCCTCCTCCCACCCCTCCATCCTCCCCACCCCCATGTCGGCACACCCCTCACACGTTTCGAGGCCCCATGGGGAGCTCCACCGAAGGCCACAGTGGCGGCGCCCGCATGCAGATCCACCACTCATGCCGGCACTCACATCAAACGCTCCGTGGCCCCATAGGGAGCTCCACCTAAGGCCCCAGTGGCAGCGCCCGCATGACATTCCACCCCCCGTGTCGGTGCACCCCTCACACTTTTCGTGGCCCCATAGGAAGCTCCACCGAAGGCCCCAGTGGCAGCACCCGCATGCGGTTTCACATTGCACCCCTCACACGTTTGGTGGCCCCATAGAGAGCTTCACCCAAGGGGGCCCAGGGGCAGCGCCCGCATGCAGTTCCACACTCAATGTCGGCACACCCCTCACATCTTTCGTGGTCCCACAGGGAGTTATGACCCCAGTGGCAGCGCCCAGATGCGATTCCATCCGCCATTTCAGTGCACACCTCACACGGTTCGTGGCCCCATAGGGAGCTTCACCGCAGGCCCCAGTGGCATCGCCCGCATGCGGTTCCACCCTCCATGTCGGCGAATCCATTGAACGTGTCGTGGCCCCATGGGGAGCTCCACCGAAGGCCACAGTGGCAGCGCCCGCATGCGGCTTCACCTAAAACCCCAAAGAGTGTTTCGTTGCCCCATATGGAGTTCAACCTACGGCCCCAGTGGCAGCGCCCGCATGGCGGTCCCGCCACATTTCGGCACACCATTCACGCGCTTCGTGGCCCCATCAGAAGATCCACCAACTACAGTACTCACAAGGACGGTACCCACAACTGCAAATTGTTGGGCCCTTCGCCAGGCTAAGTTTGGGCTGCATGGGCGTGTAAGGGAGTTCTGTGAGGATCGCTCTTAGGCCGTCTTGACGCCATCTTGGGATGTCTTGAGGCTCCCTTGGGTCATATGGGGGCCTCCCGGGCGCTCTTTGGAGCCTCTTGGGGCCCTCTTTTGGGCCCCCTTCAGGAGCCTTGCGGGACTCGTTTGGGATGTGTTGAGGCCCGATGCCAGCTGCTACTCTGTATGGTTTCTGTCTTCTACTATGCCCCCCCTACCAGCGGCGTGAAAGATTTACGTGTAACGGCCGTCCTTTTCCTCCTCGTCCTGCTCCTCCAACTCAACCCTCTCCTCGTCCACTCCTCCTCCTCCTCCTCCTCATCGTC